ATCTATAACAATATATAAATAATAATCCATTGTTGCCTTTTTGAAGGGGTGCTGCATGTTATATTCTGTTTATGCCACATCCAATAGAGTACTAAGTAGAGCCATATATTATATGACTTGACAGAGTTCATCTTTGTGCAGAAAGCGAGGAGTTAGGGCCTCTGCACAAACAATGTAGATCTTGAAAGTGAAAAGTGAAAGTGTTAGTCATTCAGTTGTGTCTGACTTTTTGCAACCCCATGGATTGTTGCCAGCCAGGCTTCTCTGCCCATAGGGTTTCCCCAGGCAAGAATACTAGAGTGGGTTGCCATGACCTCCTCTAGGGGATCTTCCCAACCCAGGGATCAAACTCAGGTCTTCTGCATTGCAGGGAGATTCTTTACTGTATTTGCCACTGAGCCATACTCAAGTCCCAAAAGTCTGAGACTAAACTTTGCAAGTTCCGTGTCAAATAGTTGTGTGATCTATATAGAACAGGATATGAATTAATGATCCAGTGTGAACATCATGCTTTTATAATAGGATATTTTCTGCTTTCTTTCATGGTGGTTTATCTCACTGTCAATACCTGATAAGTATTTAAGCCTTATTTATGACAACTTCTCTTTCTACTGTCAGGTCCTTTAAGTATAATGACAATCTCTTTCCATGTTTCTGTGAAAATGGCCAGAAAATAATTCAGAAAACAAATATTATTCTTGGCTATGCTTAGAACTTCAGTCAATAAAGAACAGGCCAAAGTTAAAATGAAGGATAATTTTGAATGGACAGAGAAAAGCATTATAAGAAATACTCCAGATGCTTTTAAGATTTCCCTGATTAGAAGCTCAGAATAAACTTGGTCCCAGTAAACACTTTGTTTGGGTAAGTGTATGAAAAAAAAAGTCCCTTTGTTTATAATGTCTGGATAGTAAACATTTCTGATTTTGAACATTAAGACAAATGTTTAAACATCTTGGTGTATACAACATGGCCTTTTGTTTGGGATAATTGAGGAACTGTAATAATTTTTGCAGAATGTTTCCAGTGTTACTTTAATGAGAAAGTGTTTATAGAAGTGTAGCAGTAGAGTGTAGCCCTGAGGTCTAGAAAAAATGAAGGTCAACTGACCTGGGGTACCAGGTCTCCTCCCTCATAACCTCAGAACACTTGTGCTGGCTGTGCTGGATGGACAGAGAATCGTGGTCATGGGCATGAGCTTGGGAAGTTTTCTCTTGCCGCTTCCTCTTGCAGAGATAAGGCACAGGGCTTATAAGTGACCTTCTGAAGTACTCTCCCTGTGGCCTTGGAAAGACGTACAGGGACAAAGAGAAAGGTTAGTCCCTTAAGTCAGTACCAACTAAGTCAATGAAGCATGTAGGAATTTTACCCTACAGCCCCAGATGTGCAAGAATGGTACTTTATTTATTCAAACTCAGTCTTGATGGATCAGAGCTGTTTGGAAATTCAGTGTCAGGATTATTAGGCCCACTTGCCAGGGTCATGGGAAAGTCCTGGGGATCTTGCACGGTGAAGAACATATCAAAGGATGAGAAGCAGCCAGAAGTTCAGGCCTTCTTTGTTATGCACGTTAGTAAAGCCCACATTTCCTTTGAGGTCAGGGGCACTGCTTCTCTTTGGGAGAAGGATCTCCCTAGGACACCTAGTAGGCCTAAGGTCCCTGGGACCTCTGACCCCTTCTCAGCCTGAGGAAATTACTTTCCTTTCTTATGCTGTTTCTGAAGTACTCTTGGGACACTCTCCTCCCCGCCTCACCTCTCACGGGGTTCTCTGATCTTAAGATCAGCAGAAGCAGTACTAGGGGCAGATTGTTAGAAATGTAAATTATTAGAGTTTTGATGTAGAGGCCCAGAAAGAAGTGTTTTAACAAATCCTCCACGTGACTGATTCTAGGCTACATTTTAAGAAATGACTGACCCAGCACAATGCATTCAATTAACTCAAAGTTTTAAAAGCAAGAACTTAGGTAATTTCTGTTTTTAGCCTTCAAAAATAGCACTCCACCCCAACTTGAGGCCAAGGAAGGAAGAAGGCTGGATGTAATTAAAAAAATAACAATTAACATAACACATAAGCATCTTGCATAGCAAAGAATCTGAACAGACATTCCAAAGAAGGCATACAGATGGCCAACAGACACATGAACAGATGCTCAACATCACAAATCATCAAGGAACACAAATCAAAGCCACAGTAAGATTTCACCTCACTCTTATTAAAATGACTATTACTAAAAAGACAAAAAGTAATGAGTGTTGGCAAGGATTGTGGAAAACAGGGACTCTCTGTGCATTGTTGGTGGGAATGTAAATTAATGCAGCCACTATGGGAAACAGTATGGAGGTCTCTCAAAAAATTAGAAATAGAACTACCATATGATCCAGCAATTCTACTTCTGGCTATTTATCTAAAAAAATTGAAAATATTAACTCAGAGAAATATATGCACCCCCCCATTCATTGCAGCATTATTTATAGTAGCCAAGATATAAAAGCAAACTGTTCATCCATCAGTGGATGAATGGATAAAAAAAAATGTGGTATATATAAAAAAGAATAGTATTCAAGCATAAAAAAGAATAAAATCTTACCCTGAGGGCATTATATTAAGTGAAATAAGTCAGTAAAAGACAAATACTGTATGATCTCACTTATATGTGGACTATTTTTTTAAAAAAAAGCACATACCTACAGGTTTCAGATTGATGGTTACCAGATGTAGGAGATGGGAATTGGGCAAAATTGGTGAAGGGAGTTAAAAGGTACAAGCTTCCAATTATAAAATTAAAAAGTCATGGCTATGTAACATCAAATATGGTGACTATAGTTAGATATACTGTTTTACATATTTGAAAGTTGCTAAGAGAGTAAATCAAAAGTTCTCATCACAAGGTAAAAAAAACCTTTGTAACAATGTATGGTAAAGGAAGTTAACTAAACTAATTATAGTGATCATTTCACAATATCTACAAACATTGAATGGTGTCAAACATCTAAAACTGAAATAATATATATCAATTATATCTCAATTAAGTAAATAAATAGGTGTGCAATAAATATTTAGAGAATAAAAAAACATAAGCATCTCTCTGATTTTTCTGAAAACAGAAAACAAAGACATCAATTAATATCTCAGTAGGTATTTTAATAAATTACCCCGGCACAAGAATTAACTTTAACAATAACAGATTTCTGAGCAAGCAAGTTCCACGAATAATGAGATGTGGTAGAGGTGAGGTGACCTGGGGTCAGGAATGAATCTAGGAAAGTGAGATAATAGATGAAGAGAAGGTGCTGCCTCAAAACCAGGAAGAAAAATGTCGTTTTCCTGGACCAGCATAAAATTCTAGAGAAGTTGGCCTTCAAAACCTTTATTTCCAAAAGTGAGGCCTCAGAATTGCTCTGTAGTGGTGATTATAAAAAGGTAGTGATTGACGCTGCTCAAAAAAATCAGCAGTAAAACATAAGAAGCCCCAAATGTCCTGTGTCTGTGACAGACAGATTTCCACTTTCCCTTTCTGCACATGAGCAGATGAATATCTACATATGTGGTCACTTAGCTAGGGACTACTATGTGCCAGGCCTCTTTGCATCCAGGTGTGACCATGCCGTGTGAACAGAAGTGATGTGTATCACTCCAGGCCTGAGCCTTTATATATAGCCTCCTTCCCACTTTTCCCTTCTGTAAAATGGAACAGGTTGGAGCTTATGACCCACCCCTGACCACACGAATGAGGGTGACAACCTCCAGTGAAAGCCAGAGAGAAGGAAGCTTGGTCCCTGAATAACTATGTGAGCACAACAACACACCAAGCCACCCTGGACCACTACTAGATGAGAGAAATAATCTTCCTTAATTCCCTGGCTATTTGGGCTCCTTGTTACAGCAATTTAGACTAGAAAAATCAAGGTCCCCCATAAAAATTCAAGTAAATATTTAGAATCCATTTGAGCTGATAGTACCAAAGTCCTCACAGCAGCTGCTTCATAAATAGTCACTAAGTGAACAAATGTGGCACCATCAGGAGCTGTTGGGGCAAGAGATGCCTGTCTGTCTCATAAAATATTCTGCCTGAAAGTAAATCTAAGTAGTGGCTTGCAATCTATAAACAGAAGAGCAAACAGCACACAAGTAGCAACAATGGGTTAAAATCAAATGAGACTCTGTGTGTAGAAATGATTGCTAATTATACAGCAGTCATTTTTTAAGTGATTTGCAGGTAGTAATCACAGTCACTGTCATTTTCCAAAACAAAAGATTTATACATGCACAGACATCTACAGACGGGTAAATTCTTCTTTTAACAAATTTGATGAGACATCAATTGTTATGCTGATACTGGTCCATAAGAAAAGGTAAACCCATTGCTACAATATGCAGAGTGAATACAAAGTAGCTTTTTATGTACTCTGTAAAGGCAGTTTTTGTTAGTATATGGCATATAAATCCAACTCCATTTGCTGAAGATTTTGAAGGCCTACTATATTAGAAGTATTGCAAAGAATTCAAAGATATCAAGCAAAAACACTAATAAAGATATCTAAGGAGGAGAGTGTTATATAAAACAGAGGTTTACATTTCTAAGAAATGGCAGTTAAGGACTTCCTGAGCCACTCTGGCTATGTTGAAACTTTCTGTGGGATCTCGGTTTATGCTTATCACAAAAGTTGTTCTGATACTTTTATAAAATAACATACATAATGTATATGGTGACTTGAATGAGCCCCCTGCAAATGCTAATTCCTTTGTTTTTACTTTGTAATATAGTATCTCACAAACTTGAAATAATTTCCAAAATATTTCATTGGTGATTTGTTCTAGAGCCATAAAGAGTTTTGCCTGTCTCAAGCCCAAAATATATGCTTATGTTCACACACACGCTCCATCCAGAGCAAGTAGAGAGTAATGCATTTAGCAAACCAAAGGGTAAATGGTTATGATGGATATCTGGGGATTCTGATGTAAGCAAGAAAGCTCCACTTTGGTTATTCATGCTGACAGCTGATTTATTGGAATGAAATCTAGTAGCTAAAGCAACCACAGAAAACTAAAAAATGATTGCTCATTTACATTTTTCCACAGTCATGGGGACAGTTGTTACCACATCACTATCTCCTGGTCCCACCCCAGGGCTGCTGAGCCCTCATTCCCTCAGGCCTGAGCCACTTGTCTGACTTGCTAGACAGCTCCAAAGACAGTTCATGCTCTTTCTGTGGTGTTACACTTTGTTGCAAATGTCATTACGTCTCTTACTACCATCTACTTTATCAGTCTCCCTGGAGATGAGGTTAGGTTTTGCATGGCCAAAGCAGGTCCAGGGCTGGTCCAATCTGTCTACAAATACTGAGCTTTTCCCAGAGTTGCTCCTGAGAGCAGGTTAACACAGCCTAAAGTGCAGGAGAGTTAATACCCAAATGAGGAGGACTTTGATCCACGGGAGATGAAGATAGGAAGAGGCTGGCAGGTAATTCTTCCTCTTCTCTGCCCCTGCTGGGCTGTTCTGAGACTGATCTCTGAGCACATACCATGGTTGTGTCTCACATAACGAAGCTACCAATGGTGTCTTCTTGAGAAGCTGTGGCCAGATCTGTAATGTACCACTTTGCATTTTCTTTCTTCCTACTCTACTCCACTTCTTCTTTTCTCCTCACTCCTGTTTCCCTGGAAAATTAAAAAAAAACAAAACAAAAAACAACTTGGCATCTAAGATTTTCTTCTAGGCCCTTTCATCTAGGGGACCAGTGCTGTGTCAGTGTCACACCCTTAACTTTCACATTTCCAGGCTGGAGCAGTCAGATGGTTGATATTGGGCTGCAATGCTCATGTCCCACATCAGTAAGCTGGAAAAGAGTGCCACTGCCTCATTTATGATCCTCTGGTGAGAGGGGAAGTCCTGTCTCTCATCTATTTGGAATTAATCTCAGCTAGGAAAAGTGTTTGGATTCTGGGGACTTCCCTGGTGGTCTGGTGGTTAAGAATCTTCACTTCCAGTGCAGGGGGCCAGGGTTCAGTCCCTGATCAGGGAACTAGATCCCACGTGCCACAATTAAGATGTGGAGCAGCCAAATGAATTTTTAAAAATGCTATTTGGATTCTGAACAATCACAGAGGTGACAAATTTCCCCTCTGAACCAGCTTGAGCTTAGTAGTACTTCTGTCCTCTCCTTTGGGTTTCTCCACGTGGGTTGTCTTCTCTTGCAGCATCAGCAGTATCTTCTCCACTTTCACCTCCTGAGCCTGCCAAATCAGTTTTCATCTGTTCTAGACTCTCTGCTTCTCATATGCTTGTTGTTCCCATTTTGCCCATGAGAAAAAATATTCCATATCAACCCATTCTTACTAGCTACCCCAACTGGCCAAAGCAGAATTCATTTCTCTTTGCATTTCATAGTCCACAGACCAACCAGCCAGCTCTCACATCTAGCCCTGGCATTGGTCACCTGTCTCAGCATTCCGATTATTTGCTGCCTGAAGAGTAAGAATTAATGATTTCAGGAATAAATAGAAAATGTTAGACATCTTACATCTTTCAGGACAGAGGAAGATTAAGCCAGAGTCAGCAAGGATCCAGTTCTTTGGATTTGAACAAGGTGACCAGACATCTCGGTCTTTCTTTTTTAAAGAAGTGTCTGGGAAAAAGTCTTAGACTCTCTTCACAGGGTACTTTCAGAGGACTTTCTGTAGATGCACTGGACTATAGCGTCTATGTAGTCATCTATATTAATGCCTAGTTTGGTGAAAATGTATACTCCATGTGACTGAAAACATCATTCATGCATGCAAACAAAAGTAGTAATGTTCTCTTTAGCCAGTCCTAACTTACTTTCATTAGCAGTTTCTCACACTCAAATACTTCTGGGGATTTCCAAGGCATGCTAACATATTGTATCTTTCTCTCATGACCATAGATGCTGTATACCATCATGCAGGCCTGCAATCCTTAGGGGAACGACAACATAAAGGGGCATCATTCCCACTGCAGACATCCTAGAGTTATTGCAACACTTTTTTTCTGGCAGATAGAAGAAATGTGTTTTGTTTCAACAAACTAAGGTATTGAGAGTTTAGCTAAGCTACTCTATAGTATTGTTGCTTCTGCATCCATTTTGTTCACCCAAGAAGCCTGCAGTAACTTTAAATGGTAACTAGATCTGCCATACAAGTATTTGCCCCAGACAGCAGACAATAGAATCAGAAGCAAAAGACAGTTCCTCACATGAGTTCCCAAACAGCCCTTGTGATCAAGTTTCCCCTGCCTCCCAGAGCGTGTGATCCTTATGTGCCTCTTAGGTAAGACCCTCATGGGACCTACCAAAACCCAGCTCTTTTGGTTTGAATTGGTCAATCCAGCCCTTGTTCGGAAATCCCAAAGCATTTCATCAGTGCTTAATCCAAGTATGTGCCAAGATCTTGCCTCTCTCTCTCTCTCTCTCTCTGACTTGACCCTTGTATGTGGCCTGTTGAGATGTCCTGGGCATTTCCTCCAGGACTTGTGAACAATAACTTCTCTATTTCAGTTTCTCTTGGATTTGTTGCTGAACTGTGGCTCACCATTCAGCACTCTGGGCTGCTCTTAACAAATGTTAATCTGTTAACATAAGTATAGTAAATCAATCTCCTGGCAGAGATAAGTAAGGGGTACTGAAAAACAGGCATCTTCTTCTAATTTTTACAAGGGTGATATAAGAACTAGTGGCAGCTCTTCTTTCCCACCCCACCCCCATCCCCCACATAATTTCTTTGGGTTGGTTCAGACATTGTCTTTGTAAAAATTTTTCCAGCAGGGGTCTCTCTCTACACATGGTACAATAAACTCTCAGAAGATGGAATAGATTATTTGCATTTTGCTTATCCATCTTATAATGTGAATGGATGTGGTTTTAAAATATGTCAAAATTCTTTTCTGACACAATCAGAAAACCATTGGAAAAGCACAATGTCCCACAGCATGATTTGGGTGATTAAACAGGTATGTTCACTATGTGATAATTCATCAAATAATGCATTTATGATTTTTAGGTAGTTTGTGCTTATATATTATACCTCACAAAAAAGGTTTCCTTTTTTAAGTTATAATCCATAATTTGACTTCTGTTTGCATGCTATCTCACTTTTGTTTCATTTCTTAAGTATCTGGAATATTAAAAATTGGTTATTTTATTTATGCATTTTATAAAACTTTATACATTTTTTATAAATGATGATGCTTGGTGTATGTGTTTTTAGAAAAATAGGGAAAAATTAAAACATAGCTGTAATATTCAAAAGAAAAATAAACTTTGTTTGAAAGTGTGTATCATCCAGTAAAAATTTTGCATTGATTTTCTAATCATGAACTTTGACAAAAAGACATTATCATTGTTGTCATCCAAGCTTTGGGGAAGGATCTGAGAGACCAGATGGATATCTCTCTTATGATCTGCTCGGAGGCTTGGTCTGTACTTCCAGTGGGAATAGGTCAATGGCGGCCAATGGCTACTAAAATGTGGGCCTTCCTGATGAGGTTTTACTCATCTCTAGTGTTAAGCAGCTTACATTTTTCTGAGCAGAAGAGAAATGGCCACAAACCACCCCTTGTCAAGTTAGCAAATGACACATGAAATATAGGTGCTTGAGAGAAATAGTTGTCATTAAAGTAAAAATCAGAACAAATTAAAATCCTATTAAAATTCTTAGTTGGAAAGCATCACTGACTCAATGGACATGAATCTGAGCAAACTCTGGGAGATGGTAAAGGACAGAGAAGCCTGGCGTGCTGCAGTCCATGCATCACAAAGAGTCAGACATGGTTCAGCAACTGAACAACAACAAAAATTCTTGAGAACAGAGCTCTGCAAAGCACCAAGATTGCTTATTTTTTTCTATGTTTTAATCTCAAGATTTTGTTATTTTTCTTTTGCTTTATTTCTTTATGATTGCGCCATCTCACATCTTTTCCTCTCTCTAATTTCATTTTCTTTTCTCTCATTTCTCAAAATCATCTCTTAATTTTAAAAAAAAGTACCAACGTTTAGTGACACATCTTCATAAAGTAGATCTTTTTCCCTTTACAAAAATTAATATTGGGCCATGAAAAACTTCAATCTGTCTGAGCACTAATAAAATAGAAAATATTGAGTGAAAAATGTTTTAGTCCCAATGACATTACCACTTACTTTTTAATAGTATTAGAGTAATTACCTTAATTCTCTCTTGGAAAACAACATCCATTTAGATCCTCTAATGAAGGAAATATATATTTGTAATGGACCAAATGGCAACATGCCCTTGTCTGAAGCAATCACACTGTCTAATAAAGAAAGAAGAACATTTAAGTGTGGTGCCTCTGAACACCAAGTATTACAAGAATTCCTAGTCAGCAGGATGCTATGCCAAAAGTACTCTATAAATTGGTTTATCCTTTCTTGCTATCTTGTGGCCTCATTCTAAATATTTCTTTAATAGTAATAGTGACATCATGTTGATGTTCCTTCAATTAAAAAATAAATACATTAAAAAAATAGTAATACTGGATAGTTCCAACAACATAAACCTTACTATCCTGTGTTTATTTTTGAGCTTTTCAAATCAATAAATATTACAAATCCTCCATTGGGGAATACTTTTCACCATTTTATATTAATGTGTTTTTTCCTGCCTTCTTTCTTCTTATGTGAGCCACGTCTCTGTCCTCTGTTTTGCTTATTGTTTCCTTTCTCTCTTGTTTGTTCAGCGTCTGTACAATCATTTCTCTTTGCTCTGCTCCTTACTCCAGCCTCCTGTTCATTTCAGCCTCCATCTTTTTTCCTTCACAAACCCCTTTGATTCCAGTTGACAGTTTAAGGTTTTTGGTTTTTTTTTTTTTTTTTTTTTTTTTACTTTTACTTTCTTAGAGACTTCTGTTGCCATAGTGATACTTGATTATGAAGACCATGACTGCCTCCACTGACACTCCAGTTGCTATAACAATGCCAGTTAACAGAGAATTCTGTGGATACTTGCTAGAAGGATGCTTGCTTACACCTTTGTGTGGGACAGACTGCCAGAAAATGTTTCTTACAGCGAATGGCTGCTTGTAGCAGTAAAACTTAAGGCCAAAAACTTAAGGGCAGCTCATTCAGGAACTGAAAAGACCAAGACACCAAGATTTATATCTTCACACCCTGAAAAATTTCTCTCCTTTCCCTGTCTTTTATTGCCCTCCCTTCCTAGTCTATTTATGAAAGTAAAAGTGAAAGTCACTCAGTCATGTATGACTCTTTGCAACCCCATGGACTATACAGTCCATGGAATTCTCCAGGATAGAATACTGGAGTGGGTAGCCTATCCCTTCTCCAGGGAATCTTCCTGACCCAGGAGTCAAACTGGGGTCTCCTGCATTGCAGGTGGATTCTTTACCAGCTGAGCTACCAGGGAACATACCTGCTATGGATTGAATTGTGTTCCCACAGAATTCATAGAATTGAGTGCTAATCTGCAGTGTGACTGTACAGAGATTTTAGGAGGTAACTAAGATTAAATGAGGTTGTAGGACTGAGGTTCTAATCCAATAGGATTGGTAGTCCTATAAGAAGAGGAAGATAGATCCTTCTCTGTCTCTCTCTCTACCATGTGAGAGCACAGCAAGAAGGCAGCTGCCTGCAATCCAGGAAGTTATAACCAGGGACTAACTTTACCTGCACCTTGTTCTTGGACTTCCCAACCTCCAGAATGTGAGAAATTAATTTCTGTTGTTTAAGCCACCCAGTCTCTGGTATTTGTTACAGCAGTCAGAACTAGTACAATACTTCAATATTAATGTTTGTAGATCTTGTTAAAAGCTTTTGATTTTAGAGACATCAATTTCTGAAAAAACATCCTAATAAGAAGTTATAGAATATCACAATATGCATCATCAGTATTTTATTTTTGAATAGTAGATGAACAAGAAAAAAGATAACAACATTGACTGCCATTTTTGTGATTTTTTTGTTATTGTTACAGATTTTTTATTCTCAACAAAATATTTGAAAATGTGTAATTATCTTTATCTTTATATATACTATAACCCATTCATAAGAACCTGGAAGAAATATTTCTTTTACTTTGGTTTTTGCGGTTGTGTCACCTTCATTGGCTGTAAAACTACAACAGCTTACAACCAACCACAGTGATCTTCTCATCTGTGCCAACACATGTGGAGTAAGAAAGCAACTGTAGCATCAAAGCTCCCTCAGGACTGATACCAAAAGAGCTAAAACTGGTTTTTTTTTTTTAAAAAAAAAGGTCTATTAAAAAAATATCTTTCTAGTGACAGGTGTTCTAGTACAAAAAATGCCAGAATAATATAAAAAAGTGACCATACACAACCAGAAAGGAAGAAGAAAATTTTGGCACATTACAAAATGTATTAAAGTAAAGGACATCAAAACAGAAGTTTTGCTAATTAAGAGGTTATGGATCAGCTTATTCATTGGCTCCTACATTTGCTTCTACAAAAGGTGTCAGTCAATATAACATTACTTTATTTGTGCAGAAATAAGGCACTATTATGTTAAAAAAAAGCTGTGTCAATATGCTATATTATCTATGCATAATTTTACAGAAAATTTTGGAGTATAAATATTCAGGAACTGTTTGAGAATTCTTAGGGATTTCAAGGAAAATAGAAGTGCTGCTTGTAGAATGATATGGAAAGTAATTTCTAATTAAAATTGTTCTACTTGTGCTATAAAACCAGTTGATTTTTTTTTATTATCATGGTTGAGCAAAAGTCTCTGAGTTAGTATCATTGATAACAATAACAATAGCTTTCTCTAATATGCCAGTCCCTATACTTAGTGATTCACATCAATGGTCTCTATTTCTCACTACAAACTTGAGATCTGCCATCTTATCCAAGCCTTCTCACTCTCTAAATAACTTTATTTCTGGACTTCAACTTTTTCCTCAAAAACATTTCTGGGGTGTTATAAAGAAGGAACAGGTGATGTACCATAGTAGTTTTCAGCTGGGAAATACAACAGAAGCCTTTGTTAACATACAGAATTACATGTTAACATATAGAATCACAATGCTGGATGCAGTCTCAGGGTTACGATTCAGTATCTTTGCATCTGTGCATCTGACAAGAGCTAAGGTGCTGGATCATCGGAAAAGCAAGAGAGTTCCAGAAAAACATCTATTTCTGCTTTATTGACTACGCCAAAGCCTTCGACTGTATGGATTACAATAAACTGGAAAATTCTGAAAGAGATGGGAATATCAGACTACCTAACCCACCTCTTGAGAAACCTATATGCAGGTCAGGAAGCAACAGTTAGAACTGGACATGGAACAACAGACTGGTTCCAAATAGGAAAAGGAGTACAAGGCTGTATATTGTCACCCTGCTTATTTAACTTACATGCAGAGTACATCATGAGAAATGCTGGGCTGGAAGAAGCACAAGCTGGAATCAAGATTGCTGGGAGAAATATCAATAACCTCAGATATGCAGATGATACCACCCTTATGGCAGAAAGTGAAGAGGAACTAAAAAGCCTCTTGATGAAAGTGAAAGAGGAGAGTGAAGAAGCTGACTTAAAGCTTAACATTCAGAAAACTAAGATCATGACATCTGGTCCCATCATCTCATGGGAAATAGATGGGGAGACAGTGGAAACAGTGTCAGACTTTATTTTTTGGGCTCCAAAATCACTGCAGATAGTGACTGCAGCCATGAAATTAAAAGATGCTTACTTCTTGGAAGGAAAGTTATGACCAACATATATCACATATTAAAAAGCAGAGACATTACTTTGCCAACAAAGGTCCATCTGGTCAAGGCTATGGTTTTTCCAATGGTCATGTATGGATGTGAGAGTTGGACTGTGAAGAAAGCTGAGCACTGAAAAATTGATGCTCTTGAACTGTGGTGTTGGAGAAGACTCTTGAGAGTCCCTTGGACTGCAAGGAGATCCAACCAGTCCATCCTAAAGGAGATCAGTCCTGGATGTTCATTAGAAGGACTGATGCTGAAACTGAAACTCCAGTACTTTGGCCACCTCATGCAAAGAGTTGACTCATTGGAAAAGACCCTGATGCTGGGAGGGATTGGGGGCAGGAGGAGAAGGGGACAACAGAGGATGAGATGGCTGGATGGCATCACCGACTCGATGGGCATGTGTTTGAGTAAACTCCAGGAGTTGGTGATGGACAGGGAGGCCTGGTGTGCTGCGATTCATGGGGTCGCAAAGAGTCAGACACGACTGAGCAACTGAACTGAACTGAAGGTGCTTTTATACTAGGTCTGTGGATTCAATAAAGATGATGTTGAATTTTAAAGATTGTTTTTTCAATGCATTCTTCAATGGAGGCAGATGGCAAAACAACAAAACTCAATTAACTAAAAGCAATTTATGATGACTAAAGAATACAATATGAGTACACAGTTCTCTGAGGTTTATGTTTGATCCTACGTTAAAATTTAAAATGTCAAGAGGAATTCAAAAGTAAGTAACTCTCTACTGTGTTTCCCTTTATAGTAAAAAGAGATGGATCCCAAACAACCACACTGTTAGATAGACAGGCACACAGAGAAGAGTCCAGAAGCATGTGCAAAACTATCTCTTCCTTGGGTTCAAGTTGATTATTGCAATCTATATGTGGCTCACAGAAGAACTGAGATTCAGAGTTGACTTCTTCACTCTTGTCTGTATTTCCTTAAAAACTTGAAGCCCAAAATTTAAACTGTCAAGGCATACCCATGTGGTCATTCCGCTGAGGCTGCACATTGCAGGATGACCAGGAAACTTTGCTCCTTTTGATTTTCTCTTTCCTATCCCTCTCCTTTTTCCCACTCCTGGGTCATTTTAGCTCTCGGTTAGCCTTGGCTTCCTTTTTCAAAAACAGTTTTATTGAAATAAAAATTGTAAACCATATAATATACTTCTATGGTTTTTAGTATAGTCACAGATTTGTGCAACCATCACAAAAATCAATTTTAGGACATATTCATCACTCCCTCCAAAAACCCACACTCCTTAGCTGTGGCCCTTTTCCCACAGACCCTGACTACCACTAATCTATTTTTTGTCTCTATAGATTTGCCTATTCTGACATTGCACACAGATGGGATCATGCAATATTTTCTTCACTTTCTTTCACAGAGTCCACTTTCTTCTACCTTTGGTTTAAACTCGAGTTAGATTGTTCCTAGCTAGACAGAGCTAGGGACAGAAAGAGATTCTGCTCCTGTATTAGGAGGTAACTGTAAGGTAAACCCTATCTGGTTAAGATCCTTTTAGCAGCTCTTTTAGTCAGCTTTACTAAAAGGCCTTCTTCATTATTTTCAACTTGGGAAATGACTGGATCTGATGAGGCTGATGGAAACAAAGGAGGAAAAAGAAAATTTCTGTACAACCAAATTTCTTAATTAATAAACTCCTTTTTTAGAGCAGTTTTAGATTCATAGCAAAATTGAGTGGAAAGTACAGAGAGCTCTCATACACCTCCTGTTCTAACACATGTACAACCACATCCATTATGAATCTCCCTCACTAGACAGGTACATTATTTACAAATGATGAACCTACGCTGACATACGCATGCATGCATACTCAAGCACATCCGAATCTTTGCAACCCCATGGACTGTAGCCCGCCAGACTCCTCTATCCATGAGATTTTCCAGGCAAGAATACTGGAGTGGGTAGCCATTTCCTCCTCCAGGGGAACCTCCCAACCCATGGATCAAACCAGCATCTCCCGCAGGTCCTTCACTGCAGGCAAATTCATTACCATTGAGCCACCAGTGAGAGTCCCTTGGACTGCAAGGAGATCCACCAGTTCATCTTAAAGGAGATCAGTCCTGGGTGTTCATTAGAAGGACTGATGCTGAAACTGAAACTCCAATACTTTGGCCACCTCATGCAAAGTGTTGACTCATTGGAAAAGACCCTGATGCTGGGAGGGATTGGGGGCAGGAGGAGAAGGGGACGACAGAGGATGAGATGGCTAGATGGCATCACCGACTCGATGGACATGAGTTTGAGTAAACTCCAGGAGTTGGTGATAGACAGGAAGGCCTGGCGTGCTGCGATTCATGGGGTCGCAAAGAGTCGGACACGGCTGAGCGACTGAACTGAACTGAACTGAACTGAGCCACCAGGCATTGTCACTCAAAGTCTGTAGTTTACATTGTTTCATTTATGGTGGTGTATAGTCTATGAGTTTTGACAAATGCATAACATCTGTCCACCACTGTGGTATCACACAGAATCATTGCTCTATCCTAAAA